CCCACATAGCAATGAAGAGCATATTCATATCTATAGCATATACCTAGTATGTGCGTCAACTTATATCCTTATACTTATATTCTGAGAATGTTCCAGGAATAAATGGACATGTGCCACCTATATTCTTTAAAGTATATTCTTGTGCATATATTCTTATCATATGCTAAGAATATTTATATTATATATGCTATTATATTTAGCTATATACTTTGCTGGATATATACAACAGCTCGGTCCTTTTTTTTCCTCCTCAAAATTTCGCATATTTTGGCTATTTTATCCGAAAAATGGGCGATATTGTGAAATTCAACCATGGTTTCAAATCGCGCGCGACTTTAGCTTCAGCGCCTTCTGGCCGCGACTCTTCGAAGCTGCAACACGATTAATACGAAACAGTGTTGCCAGTTTAGTATAATTATTCTAGATTTACTACGTTTTGGATATGTTTACGTTAATTTTTGTATATTTTTGTTAATGGAACATGGGTTTTTATTTTTTTTAAATATTATCTAGAACGTTTTTATGAAATAAAGTACTTTTCATAGGTAATGATCTTATTTAGTACGTTAGATAAAATAATTCTGGCAACGCTGTCCACCGACACGCCGCCGCCGGTCGCCGCCAAAGAAAAAATCGTCGAACCGGCCGAACTTTAATTGCATTTTGTTCAATTTTGTTGCTTATTGTTGCTTATAAATTTACGTTATATCGATAATAGTGTTCTGTGTGATTTAAAAGTTAAGTATAAACAGGGGTGTTGTTTGTACTGTTACATTAGTCTTGCTTGCATGTTTTGAATTTCGAACAGGTTTAAACAAAGATATTTTGGGTTTAAAGTAGTGTTTGATCCGTAGCGTTAGGCTATTAAGCCTTGTTGTACTTGTAATTTTCGTAAGTATTCATCAATGAGATTTGTAAGTAAAAAAAATGTGTTAAAGTTAGCTTCATATTATTATTTAGTTAGGTTAAGGGTGAAGGCTTACCGGCTTAACTATCGAAAATGTTTACCAAAAACCACCCAAAAAGTAAACGCTCGCTGAGACGCATGGTTGCTAAAAAAACTCGTGAAGCAGAACTTTTGCTTACTTTTAATAGCAGTTTTGAAGAATCAGCTTCTAATTCTCCATATCTGTCATCTTCTCAACCATCGAGTAGTAATAATATTAATTTAGGCGAGGATTTAAGTCTGTTCGAAGTAAGTCCAACTATTTATTGTGCAAGAAGTGAACCTGAACCTAAACGTCCAATGCAGTCCCAGTTAACCACATTAAATACCGATCTTGCACTGGATATAAATGAGGTTATTAATAAAGCTCCTGGCCACCCGGAGCTGAGTTACAAGCAAGCTCATTTTGATTTGAGAAAATGGGCTGTTTGCAATAAAATTCCACATTGTGTTCTAAATGGTTTGCTAAAAGGCGTGCTCTGCAAAAATTTTCCCCAGGCTAGGTTTCCGTCAGATGCTAGAACTTTATTAGAGACTTCTAAAAAGCTATTCAATATAAATTTATCCCAAAATTATTGTTATTTTGGTATCGAAAAATCAATAAACTATTTATTTCGAGCTTATAATGTTGAAATTGCGGAGGGGGATGCAATTGAACTTGGTATAAATGTTGATGGTTTGCCTTTAACGAAAAGTACAGACAGTTCTTTTTGGCCAGTTTTAGGTTCCATTAAGTCATTGAAAATATTAAAAAATATTGTGTTTCTTATCGCTTTGTATTATGGAAAAGCTAAACCTAAACATCCAGATATACTTATGTCTGATTTTGTCAAAGAGTGTCAGCGACTTAATGGCAAAATTACAATACAAAACATTGAAATAGATTTCACGATATCAATGATTATCTGTGACATGCCTGCAAAATCATTCTTATTGCAAATAAAAGGCCCCACAGGATATTTTTCATGTACCCATTGCCTAATTGAAGGAGAAGCCGAAAGATATGTTTGTTTTCCCCAGGTCGATTGTCCGAAAAGGACAGATGGGTCATTTCGGCAAAAAATAAATAAAGAGCATCATATCGGAACATCATTAGTTGAAAATATTCCAAATTTTAATTTAATTGTAAATGTGCCACTCGATTACATGCATCTAGTATGTTTAGGTGTAGTAAAGAGGCTCTTAACTCATAAAAAGTATGGCTTTGTGTTCGGAAAACCACCCTATAAGTTACGTGCTTCTAGTGTCATTAGAATAAATGAAAGACTTAAAAAAATGCGTCGTTTTATACCTATTGAATTTGGTAGAAAAACCAGACCTATAACTGAAAGTAGAAGATACAAGGCAAGTGAGTTAAGAACCTTTTTAATTTATACAGGACCAGTTGTTTTAAAAAATGTTTTGCAAAAAAAAAATTATAATAATTTTGTAGTACTCTCGGTTGCAATTTCAATTTTACTTAGTGAGCATGCTTTTGATGTATCCTGGCTTAAATATGCTGAAGAACTAATTACTTGTTTTATTGATAAATCAAAATCTATTTATGATATTGGTTTTTTTTCTTTAAACGTTCATTCTTTGTCTCACTTGGTAGATTGTTGTAAAAAATTTGGTCCGCTGGACAGTTTTAGTGCATTCCCCTATGAAAATTATATGCAAAAACTACTAAGATATGTCAGAAAAGCTCATCAACCTTTACAACAAGTTATTCGTAGGGTTTCTGAAGAGAATAATTTATTAAATAGTCTTACAATAAACACCAAAAAATGTGTAAAGCCCAGTAGTTTAAATTGTGTTCAGGTTCACTCAGAAGGACCTTTAGCACCCGGTTGCAAAGGTCCACAATATAAAAAAATGGTTTGTGACTCTTTCACCATTTCATGTAATACATTTGGTAATAGGTTCGTTATGCTTAAGGATGGAAGCATTTTTGAGGTAAAAAACATATGTTATGATAATAGTAATAAGCTCAGTATTGTAGGACAACCTTATAAAAAAGTTGGTGATTTGTTTAATAAGCCATGTCATTCTTCTTTATTAAATATTTGGGTAATTAAAAAACAGGAATCCCCTTTATTAATGTTTGTTTCTGCGTCAGATATTAATTCAAAATTGTTAATTTTACCATTTAATGAAGTAGATGACAACTTTGTAACATTCCCTATAATTCATTGTATTAAAGCCTAATATACATATACAGGGTGTTCACAGTTTAATTGCTCCCCCATTAACTTCTTGTTTTTATTTGTACAGGGTATTTCAGGAGGTCTGAGCATGATTCCTTTTTATTTCAAATACGTACTCCATTTTTTATTAAATGTTTGGATTCTCCTAAGAATTCTATACTTTTTTTATACATTTTTTTATTTATTTATTAAGGTTTAAATTTTTTCCACTTTTTTACATATATCTATTTAGGCTTTAGGCATAGGGTGTGTTATATATAAAACGTACAGAATTGTAAGGAGAATCCAAAAATCTAATAAACAAATGGGGTAGGTATTTGAAAAAGAAAGTTGAAGCAATCCCAGACTTTCTGAAACACCCATTTTCGTATGTTTTACGGGGTGTCTTGCTTATGAGTTGAAATAGAGATGCGGTTTTCGCGACACCGTGCTATTTTTTTGTAAAACCAAAGTTAGCGCAAACAAAATTTTCATAGCCTCCTTCGTTTTTAAGATACAGGGCAAAATTAAAAAGTGAATGGGTGGGTCCATTTAACTGTAAACATGTACCCTGTACCTGTACCTACTTGTATAGACAAAATTTTATCCATCTGTAGTTACGTCATTTTTGCTTATCTTTGTTTAATACATTTCAAACAGGGGTGACAACAAACTTTAAATAAAAATGGGTGTCCAGTTCTTATGTGAAGTATCAGTCACTATCACACACTATCAATCAGAAACATTGATTTTTTAAAATTTAAGCCAAACGTTTTTTCTCATCTGAATGACTTCATTACAGATGGGTAAAATTTTAAGATTTTTTCTAATCACGTATACCTAAATGCTGAATGTTTATTTTTATTTTGACAAAAATAAAACAACAGGAATATTAAGGTACTCCTGATGTGTCTTTTTTTGATACCGCCTTTATTGGCATCGGTTTAATTTAACTTTAAAAGTAGGTACTGTACATTATACCCTCAACCTTACCGTCCAATCATACTCGTACTGTACTGTATTACATAGGTAGTCTAGCTATATATCTAGGAGATCATGACAAATAAGTTTGTTTTAAATGGTATTTGTTGTCCGCAAATTCGAGTGTATATTAGATGTGTTTAAAATTGTACTTAAATTTATTTTTATTTTTGGTGCAATAATTGTGACCTCACTTGTGACCTTGCTTATTTTAATTTTAATAGACTTAGTTGACCCCATATAAAAATGCAACCTTGGGTTGTTATTGCGTTTGATGAGGAAGACTCAGTTGCCGTTGTCCCAAACACGTGGTTGTTCCAAGCTGAAAACAGCAAGGACATGTGTAAATGGCCTCCAAACAGCAGAAATGCAACAGGATACGTCAAAAGAAGAGACAAACCTGGACCGGATTGGCAACACTACCCAATTACAATATTGGGAGATTATGGTAAGTGTTCTGATATTGTTCTTTTATTTTAAATCAATTTTTACGTCTTGGATCATACTTAGTTAAATATTTTTAGCCTCCTATGATATTGCCCTAAGAAAAGCTCAGAAGGCAGAAGAAACATCTGAGCTTTCTTCAAATAATGATACAATAAAAAGGAAGAGGACAAAAAATTTAAAATATGTACCGTGTACTTCTTCCAGTGAATCTGAAAAAGAAGAAGCAGATTCGGAAACCGAATACCCAAAAACCCCTAAGATTAGACACACCGAAATGAGTAAAAGAAGGGAGGCGAGGGAAAGTGAAAATGTAGGTACTTATAAAATGACTAACTAAAATTTTTCTTTTATTAATGCTTAATATTAATCTTAAAATTGTTTAGATATTATCACAAATGGGCAGTAAGTGTAGAAGTCTTCAGGTAGCAACTCCAAAAAATTCACCAACTACATCCTTCTTAAGCCCCTCGCCCCAACCGCAATGCCAGTTCCCAAAGCCACTTGAAAGGGATAATGCACCATCTGAAAAAGGTTGTTTTGTGTATCTTTACATTAATATTAAAATAATATAGTGACTTTTGGTTTATAGAATTTCGAAAACAAGTATTAACCAAACTTAGTATTATAATGGCCAAACTGGGAAGGCAGGACGAGCAGCTGGACAATATAGAGGCTTTATTAGCAATTAGACCAAATGACATGGATCTTTATTCCAATACAGGAATAGAAAAGATCCCTGTTAGTAACGAAGATGAGTTGGCTCTTCTGGAACAATTTATTACTGAACCATTAAACTTCAAGGCACTGGTAAGAAATATGTCTTTATTATCATCTGCATGTCATTGTTATCTGTTGTTTTTATTATTTTTGGAATTTTAACAGCACATTTTTTTAAGGCTAAAGAGCTTAGTCGATTAGGGGGAAACATGGTTCCTGAAATTACCAGAAAAATAATGTACCGGATAATGACAAATGAATTTGCTCAACTGTACAGTTGGGAGGGCGGAAAGGGCAAAAGAAAGTTTGTTAACCTCACCCTGTCTAAAGTTGTAATTGGTGAGTATAATGATAAATATGTAATAATGTGTATGTAATGTAATACGTATGTAAATGTCTAAAGTGCCCAACTCTTATAGCTTTTCACATTATAGTTCTAAATTTAAGAACTTTGCCCACAAAAAATTGTTGACATATTCCTTTAGTTTAATTATTTGAAAGCAACGACGGTTTCAAAAACGCATGTTTATTCTAACTTTTTAGATGCAGTGAGATGCAATAAACGAACAGCAAATGCGTGCGAGGACGAAGTAATATTAGAAATAAAAAGATGGCTTGTTAAAGCCAAGGAAAGGATTTCAAACAAAAATAAAAGAAGGGAAAGGTAAGTGTATTATTTTTATTTTCCTTTTACGAGACGATATAGGTATACTTTTTTAGATTGGCTGAGAATCAGGAGGAGCAACTCGGACGTTAACGGAGGAGCAACTAAACGTTATAATATTTAAATTCTTGTTAATTTTTCAAATAAATGTTTTTGTAAGTATATGATTTCCTATTATTTAAAATTTCCATTGGATACCTAGAAAAATGTAGTATATTTCGTTCAGCACAGGTAGACAGTTTCTTTACACATCTATTTGGATATTTTAGAGAAAGATGTCATGATGTGACATAACTGTCTACCTGTGCTGAACAAAATTTACCTCCCTAATTTTTTAAAGTATGTTCACAGAATATGCTATACGTATAAAAACAAGGATATTCTCAGCATATTTTAAAATATTCCTAGAACATTCTTAAGCCAAGTGCATAGCACATGCTTTTTGCGGCCAAAAGGTTATGCTGAGCACATCCCCAGAATATATAAGTGTAATTCTTAGCACATGCTCAGAACATATTTCCAATATTCTTATACCAAAAAAGTGTATTCTAAGCACCTGCTAGGTATATTATTTTGCTATGTGGG